TTCCGACTTTGAGTCGGACTCTCGATTCTCTTGCCCTCCAAGTGGAGGTAACTCTCCTTGCAGGTTGGGGATGCTTGACCTATTTTTTTCAATAATCTCGTGCATTTGGAGGCATAATTGTGAAATCGCGATTCTTATCGTGAATCAGAATCTTAAATTTGTGAATTGTGAATCGTATCGAATTGTGAATTGTAAGATTCGACACAAAGTTTGAATAAAAAAAAAAATAATCACACGTATTTAAAATAGACATGATATTGAATATTGAACATTATTACATTCTAAAAATAGTCAATTGACATAATCACGTCGTCTAAATGGAAAGACGCTAACCTTTTACTTCATTTTCATCTTTTGCTTAATCATTTTAAAATTTAATAATTTGAAAAAAAAAATTTCATCATAGAACCATAACTATTCAAGAACTAAAATAGTGACACCCAGTATAAATTAGGTTACAAACATGAATAAAAAAAGAACAAATAATAAAATTGATTGGGAGAAAACATACCGACCAATATTTTGAAATAAAAAATTGGAATCTAACAAACTATCCACGAAAGAATTGAGAGCAAAAATCAACCGATGATGCGAGAGCGTTAGCTGTGACCTTTAGCTTTTAGACAACGCAAGACGAGTTTTAGACGATGTTAGAGAGAGAATGAACAAAAATGTTGAGTTTTTATTAGGACGTGAGTTCCTTTGCAAACAAAACGATGTCGTTTTGCAAAAATTTTGTGTTTTAAAAAAAATGATTGAATTGTGCGATTCGTGAGATACGAATTGAATCGTATGATTCATGTGCAATTCAACTCTAAGATACGAATCGTTTTGTACCTATATCGAACCGAATAGTATGAATTGAATCACGAATCGTATAATTTTGATAACTATGATTGGAGGCACTTCTGATGAACCAATTTTGGCCTTTCCACGAGTGTTTGCCATATTAATGCTTAGGGTTCCACTAGGCGTGCCAAAAAATATGTTTGGTGTATTTTCGGCTTGCTGGCATGCCAAAGTCTGATTAGACTTAAGACAAAACATGTATGACATTACCTACTCAAACCGTCATGAGGTTCTAAAAATTGTGACTATTTAGGTGATTGTAGTGAAGAGTAAGGTTACCTCTGAGTTCTTTTCTATGTCTTAGGGTTGTAGGACTTTAAATAATTTTTCAAATAATAGTGTAATGGACTGAAGCATAAAAGAGACCACTGCAATGAAAAGCAACAAGCAAACTACATTCTGAAGATGAAACAAGTACTGTACTTAGCATTAAATGAAAGTAGCTAAAGATCACTGGAGTGATGCGATACAGGAAAAATAAAGTTGATTGGGAGCAAGGATAAGTAAATATAAGGTAGACCGGCTCTGTGTAGAGTTTGTTGTGTTTGATCATGGATCTCTTCTCTGTGGCCTGACCTCTATTATTTATAGGGATGACGTCGAAGCCATATTTTTTGGCCATGACTATAATCTTGGCCTTTTTTCTTGAGATGCGTAGACGTGCATTAAACTGTCTCCAACTAGCGGCTCATGATGTCACGTCTCCCCTCATTCACTTGTCACCCTCTGAGTTGCTATTTTTGGGTGTAAACAGAAATATAGTCAGGTAAGCTGAAGTTCAATGAGCTTCAGAGAACTCTTTGTAAGGTGATGGAATTACAACAGCAAAGTCAATTGAAAGAGAGTAACTTTTGGCTGTCAACCAATACTGTGTTGACACATTCTTAGGCACACATCAGTTTGAACTAGATGGATTTTTGTATTTCTGTCCAAGTACAAGATGATGTATTCACCCACAAAAACTCATATACATGTATACAAATATATTACAATTTTTGAGAAACTTGAAACCAAATTGATCTAATACAGAGATAATTTCTTCCAAATAGAGATCACAGATATTTTCTAGAATCTTATTCAAATGTTTGGTTGTGAAGCCATCTGATTAAACCATAACTCGTAACGTTTTTATTTGAATTTGTTTTCTTTCTTTCTTTCTTTTTTTTGGGGGGTGGGGGGATTTATTTTTTTCTTAGTTTTCAATTGTTATTCATATCCTTCTGTTGTGTCCTAAGAATCCTGAGCACATATACAGCAAATGGATATCACATGCGATGGACATACTGGTAGAACAAATTATAAAAAAGCAAAACACGATGCACAGAGGCAGGAAATAGGAACCAATAAATGTGTTTTTTACTTATACGGTTATGCAGTTTATCATATATGCATATGTTTATCTCAATATGTATGCATGTTAATGAGTTGTGCAATAGACTGCTAACCATTAGTTTAATGACATTTAGCTATTGCTGTAGTTGATGCCATCGGCGCTGTATTAGATGACAATCATTACTTAATGACTAGTAAATTTTATACCTATTGCTGTAATTGATGCTATTAATCATCCATGTCTAGGTATAAAGCATGGAAAGCATAAAAAAATATGACATGCCCTCTCATCTTGATGCCTAACTCTCTTGAAAAACTTTCATTTGTCTTACTTAACCTATTTAATTACGGTAAATTTGTTTTTAAGTTGTAGATATCTTTAATATAATAACTCTAGCTAAAAGTAACAGTATTGGTTATAGTAATGGTGCCCATTAAGGTGTAATGTGTGCATTGACTATTGCTTATGGCAATATCAATACCAATGATATGTTGCAGAGCATAAGACCTCAAGCATCTCTCTTTTCAATGGTTGTGTTATGTGCCAATGTTGATCACTTATTTTTGCACTATTCCATTGCCTTATCGTTCTGGAATAAATTATTAATTTGCCAGGATTGAGTTGGGTTGTTGGTCCTTTTTTGATATGCTGCTTGTAGATTTTAGGAGCTTTGGGATGGATAAAAAGGAACTACTCTTCAGAATGGTGCAATTTTTGATACCTTATGAGTTATTTGGTTGAAAAGGAATCCAAGGATTTTTTAGGATAGATATGAAGTGGTGGGAGGCTAATGGGATCAAATTTATTTTTTTAGCATCTTTGGGACTTCGATTACAAAGGATTGTGATGACATTTATTTCTTTTATATTTTTGCCGGTGGAGAGCTTCTTATTACCTATAGTTAGAATTTGTGTGGTTAAGACTATGTAATGTTCATTGTTTTCTTTCTTGGGTTGGACACCTTGTCCACCATTTCCCATCTTTCTTATGTTATTCTTTACTTTCAAGGGGTCAAACACGTGGTCAAAATTAATTTTTATCATTTGAAACGGAATCAATGAAGAGTGTACGCCACTCACTCAAGAGTATAGGCCACCTAATGAGGAGTGTCTGAGAAGCATGGTGCTTCCAAGGTTGTGTTGCTAACAATTGAGATGGGCAGCACAGAAAGATAAAATTGTATGTGCTTTTACTATCATGGGTGCTGTTTTGACAAAACAAGTTTCAGTGACCATGACTGTTTATTCTTCTACTGACCCATGTCGTGAGCTATGAATAATTAAGGTGCCGTTTGGTAATTCAATGTTTTTGTATTTTTTTGTTTTTGTTTTCAATTTTTGTTAAGATTAAAAACAATGGTACGTTTGGTTTATGTTTTTGTTTTTTTTAAGTCAAGTTGTTTTGAAACACAAGAGTGAATATTTTTTTTTTTTTTTCGGAAGGTCACAAGAGTGAATATTGAAAACAAGGAAAATGATGTTTTTGAAAACACAGAAAAAGGAAAACACGCGGGACTTGGGGAGGCTTTTAATGAGGTCCAGCCTTTGATTTTCATTAGAAGCAAAATATAGTACATTTTTTGTGGAACCTATATAAAGCGAAAACAAAGCTCCTCTCCCTCTCTCTCGCTCATGTTGTGGGTCTGTGACTGTGGCGAAGCTCACAACTTTGTGGTATCCAAATCGGCGAAGCTCTCCACTTTCTTCTCAATCGGCGATGCTCACTAGGTTTTATTTGTGCAGATTTAAGGATTTTTCTTCATCTCTGTTTTATTTTGTTGTTGATTTCAACATTTGTGTTTGTGTATGGATTTTTTTGTGTGTATTGGTGGTGGTGGACTGGTATTGGTGGTGGTTTTGGGTGGGTTGGGTGGTGGGTTTCAGGGCTGTTCCAGCTGGGTTTTCGGGGGCTGTTGTGGTGGGTTTTGGGTTTTGTGTGTATATCGGTGGTGGTGGACTGGTATTGGTTGTGGTTTTGGGTGGCTTGGGTAGTGGGTTTCGAGGCTGCTAGCGGTCGGTTTTGGGTGGGTTGGGTGGTGGAGTTTCGGTGGTATGGGTGGTGGTTTGGACGGTGAGTTTCGGTGGTTGGGTGGTGGTGGTGGTGGCTGAGCGAGGAGGGGTGGGTTTTCGGTGATTTGGGTGGACATGTATTTGGAATTAAAAAATTAATTAAAATAATCACAATGAACTATGAAAACACTATTATAATACCAAACATATTTTTTATTTTTGTTTTCATAATTTTTTAAATATAAATGACTACAAAACAAGGATCAAAATATCGTTTCGAAACGTCCGAAACGTTTCCATTTCCAAGGAGACCGAAACGAAAAATTGATGTAATCGAAATTCTAATATTTCGAGACATTTCATAATATTTTTAAATGTATTATAATATTTAAATGTATTTGCACAATTATTTTAAAATGTTTTAAGATACTTTGATATATTTTCATTAATATTTTTAAAAAATAATTCTTAATTTTTTATTTTTTTGATTATGTTTCCAAAACGGGTCGAAACGTTTCTGAAATACGTCGAACCATTTCTGTTTCCTAGGTGACCGAAACAACACACCGAAACGATATTTTGATCCTTGCTACCAAACATGTTTTATATTTTTAATTTTTACCACAGAAAAAAAAAAATTAGTTTTGTTTTTTTTTTAAAAAAAAACATAAAAACAAAAGGTTACTAAGCGCACCCTAAGATGGCTAAACAAAATATTGCTGCATTTTATTTTTAGAGATCATATATTTCGTGTTTAAGAATTGTATAGTATTATGACAGCATCATTAATCCACTCTGCTTTTGGTTAGGCATTCAGTCAACCACAACAGTTAGATCCAGAAAGCCATATTCTTGAGGTGGCTATAGAAGCAGCAGCAACTGAAGTTGTTAATCTCAAGGACAGTTTAAATGAATGGGATAGCAAAGTAGGCGATGGTGACTGTGGGTCAACAGTAAGTCTCCTGATTACAGTAAATTTTGATGTGATCATAGATTGCATGCTTGTCTAATCCCTTGCTCTCTTGCAGATGTTCAGAGGAGCATCAGCAATTCTTGAAGACATGAAGAAGCAGTATGTTATCTTTCTCTCTCTTGTCTGCATCAAGTATTTTCATTTGCAAAATAGATTTGTTCATTTAGAGCAGAATTGATGAACATGGAACAAAATTCTGCATATTATTTGACAATTATAATGTCTCGTCCATTAAACTTTCTTTATTGAATATAGTCAAATGAGGGATGTATGTTCAACTTTTTTCTTTTGGTAAAATATACTTGGGAAAGTTATAATGACACCAAACACATGGTTTCCGACAATTGTAGATTGTTAGAGTTCTTATTTATATTATTAGTAATGTAGGGCAATATTGTAATTCCTTTATGTTTATTTTTTTTTTGGGGGGGGAGGAGAGTGGAAGGGTAGATTTGAACTCTTGACCTTAAAAAGGCAAAGTTTTCAGAAGGTAAGAAGTACCATTAGACCAAAGGCCGTTGATGAATATTGTAATTCCCTTGATATTAGTTTACCATAAATAAGATAGTGTAGGGCAACGAAGCCTACACAAAGAATTACTCTCTTTCTTCTCTCCTTTTCTCTTTTCTTCTAACCATAATATTATTTTTTATTATTTCAACTTGGTATTAGAGCATTATTCTAGCAGGAAAATTAGAAGAAAACATAACAGAATCAACCTTAGGCTGCTGCCCAGTCTAATGTCACTGTCTGGCAATGACATCAGCACTTTCCGGCGATGACGTTAGCAATTTCTGATGATTAGAATTTTTGCTATGGTATTTGTGGTGATTTTCCTAGTCGTCTATACAGATTTTTCCATTGTTGAATGTTTTTTAGAGTTTTTGGAGCCGATTCTTTGATCTGATTCTTGGACGCCATCTGGGAGTTTTTGATGGTTTGTTTTGCATTACAAGGGTTCGACTAAGACCCTAGAGTAGATCTGTGACTGAGCCAACTATTTTTGGGTTCAGTTTTGATTTTTTTTTTGGCTTCAACAGGGACTTGGCAACCACTACTTGTGCCAGTATTGTTCAGATTTGGTTGTTACTGTTTGGATCTGGTGCTTACAGTTCAGCATTGGGACCCGGCAACCACTATTGGGTATTCTTCATTATTTTCTTGGGATCAAGGTTGCCTAGTCAAAGGGAGGTATTAGTTTGTTGAAACGAAAATGTGTTACTCCTATGGACTCTAGGATCAAGTTAGATGTTGAGAGGTGAAATTTTTTATGATGTAGGGTGTGGTAGTAACTATGAAGCACATATACGAATATAGATACAAATACGGTCGTGATACGTTTATAATAAAATGCATTTTATATTTTTGCTATTTTCTAGCGATTTAATAATTATATATTTTGTTAATTCTTTGCAATAATAAGGAAAATTAGCAATTTTTATTAGTTTCAAAAAAGTATATATCATATCATTGTGATATATTCACAAAGTGAAGGGACTATTTACAGAAATTAAAACCAATATTTACATAGTAGGTTTTTTTAGAAGTTTTTATTGCTAAGATTATACAGATTCATTTTATGTTTTTTTGACATANTTATTAGTTTCAAAAAAGTATATATCATATCATTGTGATATATTCACAAAGTGAAGGCACTATTTACAGAAATGAAAACCAATATTTACATAGTGGGTTTTTTTAGAAGTTTTTATTGCTAAGATTATACAGATTCATTTTATGTTTTTTTGACATATAATTGTAGATAATACTTGAAAAATACTCACGTGTCTTCAATGTAGTATGAACTTTTGTTGATGTATTATTGTATGGTATGTGAATTCAAAAGAAGATGTTAAAGATTAAATTCAAAAATTATAAGCGTAGTTCGAATACAAAAGTATTCGTAAAGTATCCAAATATTTCATTTTTACCAGATATGCAGGAAGTGTGTATTCAATACATATCCTCAAGTATTCGATGAGTATCATATCTGATATGGTATCCGATACGGATACATTGACCTCAACGAAGTATCCGTGTTTCATAGGTTGATAAGTTGATTTATCTTACGGTTACACATCCTTGAATTACCTATGATGTTGGTGTAGTTAGTCAATTCTTGCACGCTCCTTGTAAGCCTCATTACGAGACTGTTTGTCATATTTGTTATATAGGCCTTCATGCTCTATGATTATTATTGGTTTTTCTAATGTTGACTCTGCAGGTAGTCGTATTGATAGATGATTTACTTCAGGTTATTACACATTTATTGTGGTAACATTGTTATTTGGCGTAGTAAGAAATAGAATGTGGTTGTACGTTCAAGTCCAGAGGCTGAATACTAGGCAATGACTCATATTGGTGTGAGATGTTGTGGGTTCATTCACTACTTCGTGGTATGGGTATCAATGTGCCCTCTCCTATAGAGATGTGTTGTGACTACTAGATAGCTATTTTCATTTCCAACAATTAGGCATCTCATGAGGACTAAACACATTGAAGTGGGTTGCCATTTTATTCCAAATCTCCTGATGCGTAAGGAGAATATCACACTATACATCAAGTCTAGTGATCTGCTTGGTGATATCCTTCTAAAACCATTGACTCGATCTGTCTTTAGTAATCTTTGTTCCAAATTGGATATTTTTAATTTTTATGCTCGAACTTGAGGAAGAGTGTTAGAATTCTTATTTATATTATTAGTAGTGTAAGGAATATTGTAATTCGTGTAATATCAATTTACTATAAATAAGAGAATGTAGGGCAACGTAGCCTGCACAACTGATTACTCTATTTTCTTTCATCTCCCTTTCTTTTATCCTTCTCTCTTTTCTTCTAGCCATAATATCACTTTTTATACTTTTTATTATTTCAACTTAGATGATATCCTTTTTGGTTTGGAAATCACTCAATAGCCCTTACAGTTTGTGATTGTGCTCCTCGGGGTATACTTCCATCAATCAATTATGAAAGTTTGTGCGAATTTGCTCATATCCATTGATGTAGGACAATTTTGTAAAATAAAAATAGGGGCTGTGAATAGTGTTAGAGTATTTATATTATGGGTAATTTAGGCATTTTATATTATTTTGTTGCCCTAATATATAAGGGCCTACATTGTGTATTCTTCGTTAAAGTTGTATTATTGATTGGATTAGTCTCAATAATATTCTTGACTTCTCCCTTTCTTTTCTTGCCTCTGATCAATGTTAATATGGTATCAGAGCTTTGTTCAATCCTAGCATACCTAAAAAAAAAAAAAAATTTAAGAACACAACAGGTTCTTTAAATTCTTTTGAATGAGGGCTGACGTCATCCAATTAGGGTTGATGTCATTGCTGACGTCATCAGTTTGGGGTCGGAGAGAGCACTACCATAATCGATTCTTCATGGGCTTTTCAATGGGTGTGATTAAGGGTGTAAGCTAGCTGGTTGTGTGATTGGAAGGCATTTGGTTGAGTTTTGGTTGGATTTTGGCTGCTTTGGACTGTCGGACTACTGTTCATAGTAAGACCAGTCGCCTTCTAGGTTGGTTTCTGTTCTTGGCCCCTGCTGGTTGGTTTCTGTTCTGGGGAGGTCTCTCTTGGCTTCACTGATACCTTCTTCTTTCTGTTTTGTGGTTGGATTTGTGCTTACGGTGCATTGGTGGACTGTTTCTCCCTTCATAGTGCACTGATTGTTTTGCTTCACTATGCATTTGATTACTATTTTGTGGTTGGATTTGGGAAGTTGTTTCTTGATTTGCTGGCTTGCAGGATTGTTGCTGAAAATCTATTTTTATTGTTGTTTTCTGCTTTATTTTGGATATTATTTTGTTGTGAGCATTGACCCTTTTGTTAACATTATGACAGGTGGACATTCTGATTCTCTTTAGGCTATTAGTGTCAGATTAAATGGTGAAAATTATGTATATTGGTCTTATGTGACGAAGAATTGCTTGTTGGAAAAAGAAATGTGAAGTTATGTTAGTGGTGCTTTGCAAGCTCCAACAAATCCGAAGGTAGACAAATATACTAATTTAAAGAATACCTAGGAAATCAACAATGCTAAAATCATCACTTAGATTAACAATTCAATTGATCAGACCGTTGATGTGCATTTGACTAAGTTTAATACAACCAAGGAGATTTGAGATTATTTAGCTATATTGTTTGTTCAGTTCAATTTTGCAAAAAGATATCAGTTTGAGCATGAAATTTAAGTTGCACGTCAGGGTGATAAGACCATACAANTCTTTAGGCTATTAGTGTCAGATTAAATGGTGAAAATTATGTATATTGGTCTTATGTGACGAAGAATTGCTTGTTGGAAAAAGAAATGTGAAGTTATGTTAGTGGTGCTTTGCAAGCTCCAACAAATCCGAAGGTAGACAAATATACTAATTTAAAGAATACCTAGGAAATCAACAATGCTAAAATCATCACTTAGATTAACAATTCAGTTGATCAGACCATTGATGTGCATTTGACCAAGTTTAATACAACTAAGGAGATTTGAGATTATTTAGCTATATTGTTTGTTCAGTTCAATTTTGCAAAAAGATATCAGTTTGAGCATGAAATTTAAGCTGCACGTCAGGGTGATAAGACCATACAGGAGTTCTACTTGGTTATGACTGGATTTTGTGATCAGTTAGCACTTGTTGAACCTCTTGAACTGAGTATGGTATATCTTACTTTTAGGGAGAAACAACGGTTGGTGCAATTTTTGGTAGTCCTTAGAGATGACTTCGAGGGACTTTGTAGTTCTATTCTCCATCGTCTCCCACTTCCCACAGTTGATGCAGTGGTGAATGAATTTTTGGCTAAAGAAGTCTGTCTTAAGACTCTTTTTGGAAAGGGTTTTCTTCTATTGCCTAATCAGACTGTACTAACTGTACCATCCATAAGGACTTCTTATTCACAGACTAAATATCGGGGTCAACTTGTTTCAGATGAGTGTAGTTTTTGTCGTGAAGGGTCACTAGAAGGCTCAATGTCCTAAATTGGTGAACAAGAATGCCAAGGGGGCCTTACATCAGCCATTTAAGCTCAAAGATCGTCGTACAACAGCAACTACTACACTAGTGGATGAGTCACTTCCATCAGCTCTTAGCATGA